TTGACTACTGTACCTGCAAAATATAGACAGATATGAAAATGGATAGAGTTAAACAAGGTTGAAAAGTTCTGAACAAAATGATTGTTTCACCCAACAAAAATGTATAAATCTAGTTCTCTGGTTTTAAAAAAACCATTGTTTTAATAAGAACTTGATAATAAAATCATGGCTATAAAGGAGCAGTGAAAAGGTGTAAAACAGATGAATTGAGCACTTAAAGTCTGTTGACTGATTAAGCAATCAGAAATATATATAGGGTAATTTGATCAACTCTAGTCTGACCACTTGCCATCAATTGGTTCTATTAGGATTATACCATTATAGTAGTACATGGAAGATATCTTGGACTGGGCAATTCATAATTAGTTGTCTGCCCATGGTTCGGTAATTGTTTTTATCATTATGTTCAAACTTCATATTTTTTTTAAAAAACAATAAAAAGCTGCTGTACAATGAGGTTTCCTAAATTTTCTATCTACATTGGGTACACTTTTAGCTTCTATTTACATCTTACAAATTCACATTCTTACTCAAAATCAATATCATATTCAACTGTTTGTTTTTTGTCTCTAAATCAGTATTTTCAGACAATAGTTTTTGTGATGTTCTGAAGCATACAAAATATTTTTTCAAGAAATATCAAACAAAATATGGAGTCTCGAATTCACTGTCATTATTCGTGGTAGATTTCATTTTCCACTTTTTATGTTTTAATTTAAAGACAAAATGCCTGCGGCATGTGCTAGTCATCATTCAAACATCTCATATTCATGCTTTTTCCAAGACAAATCAAACATTAAACATCAAAAATAGATTTTTTTTTTCTCTCTTGAAAGTGATAATGAGTTGACCTAGAGTAAAGTATGTACTTGATCATGTCATAAATATAAATAGACTCAGACAACAAACAACTCTACGGAGCCCCTAAGGCGCAATTGTAAACATATTTATTTATTATTTCGTTTAAACAAAATAAAAAGATGGGTTAATTACTTCGTTTAAACGAAATAATATATAAATATGTTTACAATTGCGCCTTAGGGGCTCCGTACAACTCCAAGTTTAACACCATGTCTTTTATAAATTAGCTTAATGATTTTCTCTTGTAAAAAATTTAAACAGGAATTTTGCGAGTTAGGTGATAAGGTTTTAGCCAACATCAGGCCAAATTCTTGAAAGCTTGACAGATTTTTTTACCTTCAGACATCTAATACTATAGCAGATCAACTCACTACAAACTAAGCTATTCCACTAGAGAGTTCAAGTTGGGATTAACCTTACATAGAGTAAAAGGTTAGGTATTTCAACAATAAAAAAATTGACATATAAACTACATTTACAAGATCCGAGCCAGCTAGAACCAGACAAGATAATAAACAACTTTTTTGTTTGTAACAGACAAGTCTATAGATGTCTTCAATTTCAGAATGGGTAAGCATTATATTAAAATTTTAACTCCATCAAAATGTATTTGTACTTTCAATTGTGCCTTTCACAAATTAGGAGGTCTGTTTCAGAACATAATTGAGACAAATCTTGAAACTAGTACCAGAACATAACTAAAAGTTCAGGCACCAAATGCAAAAAAAAATACATTTATTGACAGAGGTTATATGTGTTTTAAAAAAGTGTCGGAAGACAGCTTCTTTAGGATTCCAAATTTACAATAGTCAGAATTTTACAAATTACACGGTCATTCAGTATAGTAAAAGTACCAATTATCTAGTACTGAGAACCCAGTTAGATAGTAGTCTTCAATTTCAAAGTTTAGTAATTACTTATGTCACTTTAACGACATCAATACCAACTTGATATCTTAATATTCAAGAAGAAAAAGTCATCATTATTTATGAGAAATGGTAATAGGATCTTAAACATGATGACAATGTTAATTAGTAGGGGATTAAGAGATTAAATGATGATGTAAAGAGAGGATTAAGTCACTAATCTCCTGTTATATTTGTCAGCTTCATATAAATTAATCCCATCATTACATATGAAGTGGAAAATATACATATATGAGTACAGTGTGATGGTGTACCCTATGAACTTATATCATCATAATATCCACTGCTTTAACCATACTTTAAAGCTACAAGAAGTTAACCAACATTTATAAGAATAAAGCACTGGTCACTAACTGCATCATAACATATGATTATATTCATTATTTCATTTTCAGGCATCTAATAGAATTCTAGATAATGGCCTATCATAACATCTGAAAAATTCTTTAAATTCTCTGAGACAAGCTGAAGATTTATTCTATCTTAAATATATGAAATATCAATGAACTGTAATTATAGCCATGACAGAAATATTTTTGAAAACATTCTGATTATACCAAATCAAGACAATGATATGTAATGAAAGAGAGAGTTGCTGACTAATTCTGACCAGTAGCTAGTTAAGACAGGAAACACTGATTCTGACACACAGAAATATCAGACTCACTTCAAATTACTACTTCAATCAGATGATGTTCACACTGAAACTAGCTTAACTTATGTTATTGGCACATGTTTTGATATAATATTCTGTGTCAGGCTAAATTAACAATGCATTTAATGAATTTATTAAAAATAGAAGTGTGTCCCAATTCAACAATAAGAAATACAACAAAAATCAGGCGTTTTTGACATTTCCTTATTTCTCTGCTAAGTCCAAGTTATACATCCATGATGTATTTCATATTCTATATATACATTTTGCTTGTTAATAATGTGTGCTAGATTGATACTTTCAAAGTATGTGGAAGTCCATATAGCAGTAACAAATATCTATATTTCTACATGGTTATGACATATTGTTGTATATGATATAGTCTATGTGAACACAGCCTTGGACTGCCTGAAGGACTAGCAATTAACGAGAAGCTTAAGGAAGAATGTAAGAAGCAATTCCATTGTTATAAAGACGATAGTTAAAAAGACATCATGTGTTTGAGAAGAGACTAATTATAAGACTAATGGTATTTGTTGGTACTTCTGAGGGAAAAGTAGAGGTCAATACCTCAGATTAATTAGCTACTCCTAGTAATTATCAGTACTTCTTAACAGAAGATTCCAGAAAATCTGATAATGTTGAAAAAAAAATTGTTTGCATAGGATAAAGGTTAGACAAAATTAAGAATTTAAAGAGTATCCAATTAGTGGTATAGTTGCACTGTATGTTCATTACATTTTTTTGCTTGGGTATTAACGTGACCTAATCAACTAATGTAGCTGTTCTTAATGTCTCATTTCAATGACTAATTACATTTATATATCAATCTCTCTGACTTGCAACTTTACACCAGCAAACTTTGTGAGAAAACCTGCAGGTGTTATGTCAACCAACCAACTCCTATTCAGCTCCTTCAATAACAGATTTTGAATTTGTTGACAACACAGGGGAGCCTAAAAAAACTTGACTAAAAACTAACTAACTAAGAATTTCATATAAATTCACAGAACCAATAATGTTAATGTTATAGTGTTATTTTCACAGAAATTTCAGTGATCATTCTTAACATTTCTAATTTCTTTGAACTTTCTCACAATTCCACTAAAACTTAGGGTTTAATGAAGTCAATATGAATATGAGACATCCTTAGATATAAGCCTAAGACTGAAAATTGGAATGGTGTACAGTAATGCAATCAGTGACCCACATAAAAAAATTAATAAAAACTGTTTATGATCCCTTTAAGAATAATTAAATCACGATTCCATTTACACGGTATCACGCAAATTTATCACTATTTTTATCATTGAGTTTGATTGACGTGGCCACGACACAGCGTCGATGTCTTTCCTTCGAACGTCACCAGAGCCGAAATCTACACTTAACTGAATGATTACGTTATTTTCCAAATTCCCTCGAATGTGCATACTCTAAATATCAACAAAATCATGATTTTTGAACTTATTTCGAACCTTGGCTTTCAATAATTGAACTTTAAATGTGGCTGCTCAGTCAACTTTCAAGCAGTAGACAGTAGGCTAGACTATAAATAGGTGACCTACTTACTGCTGATTGGCTGTTTTCTACGACGTCTCTATTGTTAGTATCAGTTCATTAACGTTATGTTAAAATTTTAGGTATTTATGCGCCAATTTTGTGCCCTAGTTTGTTGCTATTTTAGATAAATATTTAAACACGAATTCGAGTTGATTAAATTATAAGGAATGACCTGAACATTTTTTGAGTTTATCGATGTAAACAGGTCTTTTCTGTTTAAAAATCGATAAACTGAAAAAATGTTCAGGTCATTCCTTAAATAACTCACAAGTAATATCTATTGGTGCTAACATAGCCTGTTAATGTGCTCTAAATCAAACCTATTTTTAGTACACCGGAATCAATATGTTGGAAGAACCTAAATGTCCTTACACAGATAATAACATCAGATGCTGGCCCAAAACATTCATTACAGATATAAAAAAGGCATATTTTATAAATAATTATATACATAATATTTACACTGTAATTATCTAACAGTAAGCTAGATATTACTAGACAGATATATAGTTTTAACACTCTATATTGAAATTAATAATACTGTTTAATAGACCTTAAATATTATCATTGTCACAATAATCTTTAAAACCTATTCTCAATGTTTTAATATAATCTACACTGCAATTTAATATGCCTCAAAATTTATGTTTGTGTTTAGGTATAGTGATTTATGTTTGTGTTGTTTATGTTTGTGTTTAGGTATAGTTGTTTATGTTTGTGTTTAAGTATAGTATTTTTATGTTATTGTAGTTTATGTTTATGTTAAGTATAGTATTTTTATGTTTGTGTTTGTTTTATGTTATTGTAGTTTATGTTTGTGTTTAAGTATAGTGATTTTATGTTTGTGTTTAAGTATAGTATTTTTATGATTGTGTTTGTTTTTATATTTATGTTTCGGTATAGTGTTTTCATGTTTGTCTTTTCATGTTAAGATATAGTGTTTTCATGTATTATTTGTCCCTGTCAGCTTAGTAAAAAAAAATAAAAGATAAACTTACAGCATTTTTGGCATCAGCAGCTAATCTTGAAGCATAACGAGCTATTAGTCTATGTTCATCATCTATACGACATGATTCAATACTACCATTTAATTTACTAGGACTACAAAACAATAATTTCAAATAACAACTTGTATTTGTATAGTTGTCTTAATATATATTTTACCAGCTAATATAGCTAAATATCAACTGTATCATTAAGTTATTACCAATGATGTCATATGAAGTAGAATTTGCATGGAAGAACTAGATCAATCACTGGAGAGCAACAACTACTGAATAATCATAGTTGCTCATGTTTTAATTTTTATCAAAATGGTGTTTTAGCTGAGTGGCTTGAAAAAACTAAGCATTGTCTGTCAACCTGTACTAGTCTTGAACCATGTTGATCAATTTTGCATAAAATAGAATATTGGAGATTTAATTCTAAACTAGTCAAAATTTCAGAGCTTTAGAATTGAGAAATTGCAGAAGATGCAAGGAAAAGAGGTGCTAATTCTATTTTGAATAAGGTATTTTAATAACGAGAGAAAAGAGATTTACCTTCTAGGTGCAGAACTACAAGTACTATCTATGGAAGACACCTCTGCCGTATGTACTAATAAATTATTAGGGAAACCATTTCGAGTTTGTAAAGGAGTTGGAGGGCTAGAAAGATAGAGATCAAACTACAATAAATCTAAAAGGACATACTAAACACACACTTCTAATGATAAAGATAGCTTGCCAGGCAAGGTAACATACACCCTCTACCAGTTGTCAGAAATGACAATAAAGTCTTTAGTGGCTTCATAATTAATTTTTAAGTCCAGGCAAAGCCAGACTAGCTTTTTTCTGGGGGGGTCTACAAGCCAAATTTGAAGTCAAGAGCAATAACTCCAACACTGTTCTTTAATTACCAAAATCAAACTCGACTGAGATCTCATCATATATACATGCATACCAAGTTTCATCAAGATCGGATAAAAACTGTGGCCTCTAATGTGGCTTCAAGAAATGTGAACAGACGAACAGACTGACTGATGGACGGACAGGGGCGATGGCAATATACATCCAAATTTTCATGTAGGCATATAAAAACAAATAACTGTGATATTCCTAGTACCATAGACCCCACAAAATAACAGGAACAAAATCAAAATTTATGAAAAAATTTTTCTAGTATTTATTAGGGTAATAAGAAATAAAATCTATCATTGAAAACTTTAAATCATACATTTCACACATATTAATGCTTCTTCTAGATGTTAAGACAATTTTAATGTTCCATTTTAAAATAAGATGTACCACACAGTTATTTCCCCTTAATCTGATATGGTTGACTTTTTTTTGGAAGAAATATTATACATACTAGCTGGGTTATTGACGGAAATTTCATTAAAGTTATATACAGTGGTGTAACCTATTTTCGTGGATGTAAGGATTCAACACCGAATTTCGTCGAAGTTAAAAAAATGAAAATTTTTTTTTATGTCTTAGATGTTTCCTCAGATATTCTACAAAATAATTAAAATTGGTTTATTTCGATTTTCTTTATGAATCCTTCAATTTTACCCATATTTCATGAGCAACCAACTCGGCAACGGCGCCAGAATGCGTCGCCTATTTTCGTGTACAATGTTTAATCTATAAATAAGCCTAGAAAAACACGTTGTATGGATACCGGGTTGTATAATTAACTTCCCTTAGTATTTATCTTTAATATCAATTCATTATAACTAGGGACAATTCCTTCAAAGAACAACGATTTAAAATATAAATAGTGACTGACAAAATAAGATACGTAGCGTGATTTATTGCTAAAAGTCACTGAAACAACATAAGAATATGGTCCACTTCGTGTTCCATAGAAATTTTCTGCTGACATGGAATCCGCTAGTTGATAACGTGACTTCATTCGTTGGACTACACTCTAGCAGACGACACTTGGAATTCCGATTACCGCTTGGGAACATAAGGAAATTCGGCCGATAAAAAATGGTGACGTTTGGTATTAACTGAAATCCGCCATTTTGTATTTGTCAAAGTATACATTAATACATTTTACCTTGATTGAAATTACTGAATTCATTCTACTAGCTGATATTGTAGAGAAAACCCATGTTTATCAAAACAAACTAATGCGGAGGTCGCGCAAGGTCGCTCATGTAAATTATTAATCCTTTCCGGAAATCCACGAATAATAGGTTTCCACGAAATTAGGTTACTTGACTGTACATACACTTTATAAGATAGATCTAGCACAAAAGTTATTATACTTACCCATTATAAGATAGATCTAGTACAAAAGTTATTATACTTACACTTTATAAAATAGATCTAGCACAACAGTTTACTATACTTACATTTTATAAGATATATCTAGCACAACAGTTTACTATACTTACACTTTATAAGATGGATCTAGCACAACAGTTTATTATACTTTCACAATATAAGACGATTCTAGTGTAAAAATGATATATTTTTATCATATAAGACAGTGTAAACCATAACTTACACTATATACGACAGATCTATCTTTTTCTCTGGTGCTTCAGGAAAATGGGGCAATTTGTGGTTATTTGACGTTTTATGTGGAACACATTGGAAAGACTTCTTTATGGAATGACCTAATTGCTTCACATGACTTTTCTGAAAAATACAAATGGAATGAAAAATCAACAGTCTACAATAATCTGGATATTGATATTTTGGCACATAGTCTGAACAATATTTACAAATCTAGTTGTGTGATAAACTTTAAAAAATAGCATTTCAGACTTTTAAGTAACTTCCCATGAATGAGGTTTTCAAAAGATCCAAAATTAAGACAATTCAACTCTTGCACAATGGCATCATATCAGCATCACATGCCTTGTAAAAAAAAATTGTTGATACTTACATATGATTTGTATTCTTTCATGGGATGATCTATATTATGATTTCCTGAAACACGTCCCCGCCAAAAACAATCCTGACATAGCTGATAGTTATGACATCTATCACATTTATACCGGAACCCTGTAAACGACTGTCTGTGACAACCCTCACATGGTATAGGGTGAAGGGCTGAAAAAGGGAATAAAAGTTTCTTAATTCTGTAAAAAAAAACAGTAACCAATGATCCAACAGTTCACTGATGTTCTATGAACACAATGATTTTGATATCACTACAGATCAAGAGAAATTGAATTCTGTTGTCCAATATGATGCAAACTTTCCATTTCAGTCACGTAGTATGAAAGGGAGAAAACTCACTATTTTCCACAGTAGCCATTCTAGTTAATATTGGAAGCCACATTAAACATTGAGGTCCAGGGTCAGCCATCATAACACTGAGAAAATCATTGATGTTCACTTTGGATGTCTGAAATTAAAGAAGAAAATCATTAATGGATGTCTTTAGACAAGTGGTTGCCTAGCAAGATACGCCCACTTTTCTCATACATTTTCAATATATCAAGGGCAGTCACCTATCTGTGTCAAATCATACCAAAAATATAATTTGTGCAAGATATTGTTGATTTAAACAAACATACATTATTTAATAAAATTCTCACATAAACTGTCACCTCTATCACCAATAAATTTTGATGCGTTTTTACCAAGTCAAGGGCAATAGCTCAAATTCCGTTGATCAAAAATTGTCAAATTCCATCTGGACTTAGATCTCATCATTATAAATCATCATACCAAATTTCATTTAAATCAGATTAAAACTGGACTCTCTTGTGTTCACTAACAGATTTTGATGTCAAATTCGAACTTGTCCAAGATGTCATTAATATAAATGATCACACCAAATTTCACTCAAATCAGATAAAAACTGTTGTCTTTATTGCATTCACAAGCTAATTGTGGATGGAAAGGCGGACAGGGGCGACCGAAAATATACAACCACATTATAATGTGGGCGTATAAAAAGGACACAAAAACCATTGATAATAATTTTGAATGTCTGAAATTAAACAAGAAAAGCATTGATGCATATCTGAACAAAAACACCAAAAAACATTGATAAAAATTTTGGATGTCTCAAATAAAACAAATAATTATTGATATTTGTATTGGATATCTGAAACAGACAGAGCAAATCAGTACAATATAGATACATAATCCTTGTAGATTTGGACAAGGACTAAAGACTTACTTAACTCTTCAAATGCAGAAATCAAACAAATCAAGTCTGGATTCTTCACTTCAAGTTTGCAGTGTTATATAAATTAGATCTAACATGGTATGAAAAAGTTATTTATATAGTCTATTGATTTTGTCATAGTTTTAGTAAATAGTACTAGTGTAAGGTGATAAAAATAATAGGTTTGTAACACCCACAAGCCATTAGACATATCAAATAGTACTTCTATTGTTTCATCATTTTAATTCTTACCATATATAAAATACTTTAACAAATTTATCTTGTTTGTGTTAGATAAATAATATGTTATGGTTGATTTGGCCAACAAGGAATTATTAATTTAACAAAAAAAGAAGCAAACTATGGTCAAATACATTCTTACTCTGAGATAAGCATACCTGATAATATGGAGAATATGTTTCTGATCTAGGGTGGAAGGCAATATCTTGTTTAATCTGTATTTATCTGACTTTAAAAAAGAATTCTACTTACTGGTTCAAAACAGCTTCGTGCTGCTGACTGGTTAAAACCAAAAGATGGACCTTCAAAAACAGCTGTTGGTAATGTTAAAATATCACGGAGGTAGACTTCAAATCTTGACCATATCATACAACCAGTAGAATCACTTAACTGGGTAAATATATCTGTCAGTGAAGAAAAACGTTAAAAAATCTCCTTTTATAAATCCTTTATTAGAACTTCATCATGTATCTTACCATTTACCATCAGCAAAATGATCAACATGTTTTTGATACCCAAAATAAGTTTCACTCATTAAGTGTCTCCTGAAACTCAGATCAAGTCCTCTGATTACAGAATACTCTCTGTATCCATTCACCTATTTATTAAGTTCTGCTGTCTAAAAATATCTTAAGCTACCTTCAAAAGGGATAATAAGTTACCAAGACATATCAGAGAATAGCATCTTGTGCATTTCAAAAAGTACATTAACACTCTACCAAAAACACAATCCAAAGACAGTAATTAACGTAGTTCAAGTTTTTATAAGCTTTCCTGTTTTTGCAATTTTGTTCCACATGCAAAGATCTAATATCTTAATCCAGCACAGAAATTTTTTCAAAAAATCAAGAAGGCACACAAGGTTATTGATGTCCAAAAACATAAAGGTACTAGCAAATGATCACAATTCTTGTAAAGCAAGTTACCTTACCAACACTAGCAGATGGTGGATGCTTTGTAAGCAAGTCTAGGAAATGACCTATTCCTGATATCTAGTGTCAGTTATAATAAGATATAGTCATCTAACAGTACATCTAGTCATTTATTATGTAATTATTGTCTAGTGTTAATTACATAATTAATTACTTCTTAATCACCCTGTACCTCATTAATAACCTTGATTTAAATCCAGACATCACTAGATAGGATTTGCATGGTGATGTGATTTTATGACAAAAAACTCTGGTTTATTTTAAAGGGGGTCTTCATCAAAACTTCATAATACACTACATCGATATAGCAGTCCATATATTTGCTATACCAACTGATAGTTCTTAATCTTGGCCATCAGATCATTACAATTCCCTCACAGCATGAGTTTTGTTTGGACACTGTAATGTCTCATACAGGTATCAAAGATTATACTTACATCTCAGTTTATCTACTAATTTTCCTGAACATAATGTAGATAATACGACTTTAATAGATAATACACGAGTTTTACCACTATTATCTCTACAATATACAAAATATTATACAACAAATAATATGCAATCATATACCTGGACATAGATCTCATCAATGTATCCACTATTTCATATGGGAAGAGTAAAATATTTGATATTAGGAAACATTATCACTTTATAAACTTTCATGTCAGGAGAATATATCAGATTCCATGGTGACATCTGATTTCATAGTGAAAAGTGATACAGTCAGATAATATGAGCTCTGTCACCTGATGAACTAAACAAAGAAAACTATATCCTTTCAGGTAAACTTACTTGTCATAAGCTGTAAGTATCCAATTTAATAATAATACTTTAGATTCTTCAGCTTCTATTTGATGAGCAGCAGGTAATCGTTTATTTAACTGAGTAAACAATGTGGCTAATATAGACTCGACTTTGGAAGCACTAAGTTCATATCCTGGATCCATGCTATTTAATCCATTCTCACGAAAAGCTTGAATCACATTCCAAATGTCTATCAAATGTACTAAGAAAGAAGAAGCAAGGTAAAATTAACACAAATAATACACATATTTCACACCATCATTAGGTCAATACAATCATACAGTTTTCATACCTTACTCTTTTCACTTGAAGGAAGAAAATTAGTAACATTTGAACACAATACAATAATCCAGTACAAAATTATGGAATCACAAAACCCAATGTTGAAAATTACTTTAAAAAAAAATGAAAATCTATTAAATAACATGATAACAACAATTTAAAGTTTTTCATAGATGACTCTCCTCACTTGGAGGTAGAAAATACTCTTTACGAACACACTAATGCTCTATCAAAGAAATACAGAATCCACAAAAATTCCTGAAAACCTGTAACCAGAAAGATTTCAGATGACAAGAGGAAATCAAGTGCTAGGTGTTAAAAATCAATAGCATGAGATACTAATTCCCAATAGACATCATTTTAATACACTGTCTTATTAGTCTTTTCATCACATTTAAATATTTTACACTTCATAATCATGGCTAAGTCAATCGGTGCTTTGAAGTTGAATATTTCTATTGTTTGTTCTTTCAAGCTATGAATCATTGAAAGAGATAAGAAACATGTTGGAAAACTATTTTATGGGAATCAAATAATCTTATATCTAATAACCTCACAAATTGTTATGTCAATTCTATTGGTAAAACCATAAACTGGATAAAATAATTTACCACAAACATCTAACTCAAACTATTGCAAATGCAAACTGCTGAAAATTTACACCAAAAATCCTAACCTTAAAAACCTATGAACATAAGATTTACCAGTTTACCCTCATGACAAATAACCTGACTGAAATCTAGCCAGAAGACAGTCAGCTCATCCAATCTTCTGCTCTGACTTTAATTTCCCTACCAACTTTCATAAGATAAATTTGTAAAGGCTATTGTGATAAGGACAGTCCAGTGGGAACAGAGTTTCTTATCTTATTGAAAGAACAACTTTGTCCCTATAAAATGAAAGTAATCATTGGATATCAAAGATAGATGAAGCAACTTATAATGAATTCTTAAGTCTTCCTTGATAATGACAAAATAGATACAGACAGGCCCTAATCAGAGAATAAAATCTGAGTGCTTCGACAACAATATGTGTCAATTGTGGTAAAAATAGAATTTTGTTTACTTACGATTAGTTTTTTTCTGTATAAAGCGTAATTTACAAGCTGTTCTGTAGGTAGCAAATCGTATCACATCATAATTTTGAGCTCCTGAAAACAAAATTCATATAACATCCAATCTGACCAGTTTTATTTGTTACACATTGATTCATATACTCCACAGGATTTCAGACAAAACATTTATCTATTCCAAATACCATAATATGAAGATTCATCACATAAGTTGTCTCAAAATGTTTCAAGAGAAAAGACTCAACAGTATCTTTGTATTCATAAGCTTTGTAACTGAGCTGCTATCTGCAGGATTGACTTCTACTATAAATTCAACAACAAAATAATACTTACTCATGTCTGTTAGTAACTGTCGTTGCTGTAACATTGCTTTTGCAGCAGAACTTGTTGCTTCTAATGATGGATCTTCATCTGTCATCATGAATCCTACAAAGAGAACAATAATTATCACATAATAACCAAGATGGATATAAGGAATGTATACCAAAATGTACAAAAGCAACTGGGTGTACTAATAATAAGTTCACTTTAATTAATAATATTAATAATTCTTTAATAAAACTAATAATTTGTAACAGTGTTTTAAGATAATGACAAAGTTAAGAAAGCATGGGCACAGCATCAACTTCCACCATTTCAATCCTCAACCAAACATCTGTGCTATTTAAGAAATTATAGGTCGTAACATTGTGGTTAAGTGATATTACAAAAGCACAGCCACAGGCATGCAAATCTAACCTGTTTTGATCACAATTTTTGGGTAAACTACTCATAAGTTGTATTTTGCACAACATTTAAAAAATTTTATATTCTCATTATCAGGGGAGTGAAAAAAATGTTGAGATGATGATGTGTAATAAAACCCAAGAGTTCTATTATCTAATGAGCTGAAGTTTGTTTTAACACATTTTCATTAGTGATCAAGACAGTGTATAGGCCTACTTGATTTTCATATTTACAATGAACATTTTATCATGATAAAACACCTTACGTAATGTAGCAAAAATGTTACTTTGTAATGAATGGTGGCAGAGTTTGTCTAAACGGCAAAGGACTAAATAATGCAAAAAACATCTCTTCGAAAACAAAATCAACAAAATTTCTAGCCATTAATGTGAGTATAAAATCAAAGTGATATTAAGAAGGTGGGATAATAAGATCTAATGTAATAAATAACCAACCACCATGATAAATGACAGACGGAACTAGACAAGATCAACTTCATTATCTCTCTATCTTAATATCTCCTTATAATTTGTCTGTCTCCTAGACTATATATCATTATGGCTACTCCAAAGATTTTTTCTTTCCAATTCCAAGTTTGGTGACATTTTGGTAATCTTGTATTTAGAGGCTTGACCAAAAACATTTAGTGACACAAATATCTTACTCACACAGCCTTTATAAATCCATAGCTTTTACTAATTGAATTCCCTTGGCTAATTTGACCGAATAAAATTTGTTTTTTTAAGCACACTGCCCACTTATTTAAATCCGAGCTACATTGATCTGACCACTTAGATGGCATCTTGAATTTCCATCAAATTAACCTTTTGATTATTGTTAAACCAAGTCAAGTAAAAATCAGCCAGACATTTGGAATTCTACGCTTTTTCAGCAAATAGTTTAGACTTTCATCTCAAACACTACAGAACTTTAGAGGTAAACTTTACTTCCAAACTTCTGACTAAAAGGTTTTAAGGGCTGACATTAAAGAAGATTGCTTGCCAGCTGTCAGAAGGGAAAACAGAGTCTTTCGTGGCTTAATAATGAATTGTCAAATAATCTTTAAAATATTATAAGTCAAGTCACCAATTATTACCAATTTTTAACTTGACCATCATATAATCAAATTATACTTGAATACCTATCTCTATCTTGCTTACAAGCTATATTTGATGCATGAACAGACGGACAGGGGTGACGGAAATATACGACCATATTTCTATGTGGGCGTATAAAAATGGTCCTTGTGAATGTGATCTTAGATTATGACCTAAATGGATGTCAAGTTATTTTTGCCATATTATAGAAACAACTCATGAAGCTAAGTCTAGCTAGAAACAAATCATATATGAGTAGCCTTATGGAGAATGTATTAATTAAGTCTCAGAAGATTGAAGGACTGGTCAGTGTCTTTGTCCATTATATTAGTGAAACACTGGTTCACTATTCATCAATTAAATCTACAGAAACACTTGACATCTGATCAATTTTATCTC